AAAAAAAACTTACCAGTATTAGTGAATTGTAGTAAATCCCCCGGCACGAATTCACCCCCCGAAGTAGATAATTCCATTTCCTAGAGGACTAAAAATACACCATCAACTCTCTCAATTCCACTCGGGGTTATCAATTTTCGTGCGTAATGGTACAAATGATAGCGAGTGCATGATGATCGCGTGTTGCTTAGCTTAACCATAGAAACGATCCAAAACTTTTACCAAAAAAATCAGCAGTAAAAATACCGAAGGGTGCAAATAAGAAAGCAAAGCAGCATGAGATATTCCATAGCATTTTCATTATTAATATTTTCATAATCGAAACGTCACAATACATTGTCTCGCGATTTTTCCTTGCAACAGAGTATCTCTGATAACAATCTCTATTTGGCTAAAGGAATGATACAGATATGCGTTGTCGCACCTCGCAATGCTCGTATCATCTCTCTATATATGATCCCCCCACTCTCACTGATTTTAAAAACATGTCAACGATGGAAATAATGCGAAATGCGACGATTTATCTCTCATCTATGTTAAGGAACAGCTTAATACTATCTGATATGTATTGATCGTTTTTTCTTCGAGAGTGCGTGTGGGTGTGTTTCTATATAAAATTCTTTGTGACCCAAATTTTAGCCCTGAGAAGCACCAACGAAATAATCATGATTGAGTTACAAAAATAAGTCGTCACCAAGCTTGAATGGGGGCAGAAATACTTCCAAAATAAAGGTCAACTGATTTGTGAATAAAAATGTGTGGAAATGTCGGAAAGAAAAGGCAGAAAAAAATATTGGTATCGAAAAATCAGAGTTCAGCGACCCACTGGGTATTCCCAAGCCTGATGATAGTGAAGATGCCAGTGATAACGCGATTAACGTGATCAACTCGTCAATGTTAATCTTCAAAATGCGAAAAATTAATTATTTCCGTCTGCAACCCAAATTCGATAATTTATATTCAAACTTCATGACACAAAATTGATACAAGTGTCCATTACGTCACGTCGTATTGTTTCAACCATTAATACTTCTTAATACTTAATCATTAATTGGAAAACAATAAAATGTTTTCACGGCTAAAGAACAGTTTTGAGATTGGTACAATTCGTTTGGATTTTTTCATTTTCAAGTATTTTTTGTGCCTCGCGAGGGTAAAAGGCTGGATGATACATTACCCTCTTTACAATCTCAACGAAATGAACATAGTCTCGGGACAAAACACATTGTCATTGATGAATTATCAGTAGGTAATAGGCTTAGGTCTAGGCTCTAATCATACAATATTTATAATATATTCTCTTATATAATTTTACGGTTGTTTTTCTTTTCAATGAAGAACATCTAGGCAAATTCAACGGAAAACAATTATTCTGCTTCGGAGTTCTCGCAAATTCAATAGTTATTTACAAATTTGCATTATGTATTCATCATCTCGCTGTGAAAACTCGGGGGGATTTAAATTCAACAGTTAAAAATACAAGTTTCTCGAGATGGAGATATTTAATTCAGAGAGTCGATGGGGAAATGGGGACTCACGACGAGTTTAAAATCATTGGAGTTGGCTTTTTAACGGATGGCTTAACTTCGTTAGATTCGTTACTGTGGACTGATATATCAATGATTTTTTTCATCAAATTATTTTTAAACTTGTCTGTGGCAACTGAATGATACACGGATGCAGTGATATGATACGCGTACTGCCAGATAAATGAACGATATTATGAACCTCGAGATGGTCAAGCGATTCATCTTTTTTCTTTCGTTTTTTGTTCATTCACCACTTAATTAAAAAAACGTCCAGCTGTTTATTTTATTCCCTCATTCTCCTCCTCGGGAAAGAAAATACTCTTCAATCCAGAATATAAAGTTTCTTAATATTAGAATAAATGACTATTCTCAGTCATATTCTTAATTCAAGAGTACTTCGCTTCATGTATTATCTCTTCGTTCCTTCTTTCTCGATAATGACTAGACAAATTAAACTGCAGATGAGCAGTTTTGTTATGAATCGTAGTCGTGCTGATGAAATGGATTCGTACTCCCTACCAATCACCTCACTGACTGATATCTTAATCAATTTTTCTTCAAATTATTTTTAAACTCATCTATGGCAACTGATTGATACACGGATGAGGTGATATGATACGCGTACTGCCAGATAAATGAACGATATTATGAACCTCGAGATGGTCAAGCGATTCATCTTTTTCCTTTCGTTCTTTGTTCATTCGCCACTTAATTAAAAAAACGTCCAGCTATTTATTTTATTCCCTCATTCTCCTTCTCGGGAAAGAAAATACTCTTCAATCCAGAATATAAAGTTTCTTAATATTAGAATAAATGACTATTCTCAGTCATATTCTTAATTCAAGAGTACTTCGCTTCATGTATTATCTCTTCGTTCCTTCTTTCTCAATAATGACTAGACAAATTAAACTGCAGATGAGCAGTTTTGTTACCAATCGTAGTCATGCTGATGAAATGGATTGGTGCAAGGCTGCTGGGCATGAAGATGAGTTACCACTGGTGGTGGTTTCAGGTCGTACTCCCTACCGACCACTTCACTGTAAGTCTGGAATGAAAAAATCATGAATTATCCTGCGAATTTCCTCGTTATAATTCCTCCGAACTTCGTAAAATTCAATGCAGCACCCAATAACTCTCATTTGTGACATAAAATTTATGGGATCAAGGTAGAGGACGGAGTCTACCTCGTTCGAAGTTCGAAGCATTTTTTGAGCCTTTCTGTTTTCAATCTTTCTCGCAAAAGTGGATTCTCATTTTTATTTTTTATTTTTCGGTTGATTCAAAGGTTTGGTTCGAGTCATTTCGTTCATATGCGTTCGAATTTTCGAGCTTTATTGTACCTGGAAGCTCCTACGAATGAATTCGTCCTCTCCTTTACCGCTCATACCATAATTGTAACCGCCTCCGGTGCCACCACCACCGCCACCGCTCAAGAACGGATTATTCGGATTTCCTCCTGCAAATATTCATTAACAAAATGTTAATAAGTGGATAGTGGAATTTTCCTAAATTGAGACAAACTATTGTTCCTGATAAATTAGCAATATGTTCCGGAATTTATCAAACTCGAATTATTCACGTGCACTTCGTAAATATGTGAATCAAGTGACAGTTCCATTGAAATTTCAACGAATTTCGTCACTGAAAATTCACATTTTGATCAAAAATTCAATGACAACTGAATTTTAGTTCAGTAATGCCATGAAAATTGATAGAAATATCAGAAAAATTCCGGTAAATATAGTTTTGAATTTTCAGGGAAATTTAAAATTGCAAAATGATTCCCCCTTAATCCAATTCACTGGCCAACAAATTTAATAAAGTTCAGTTGAATTTTTTCATTTCTAAATCACGTAGTAGACCTTTTATTCAAACTTGAACTTGATTCACGTTTTTATCCACATCGAATGAATAATTTTTTGAACACAAAGAAAAGCTCGTTTGAAGAATTCCAGTCGAAGACTTTTTTTAATTATAAGTGAAATCATTGTCTGAACCACGAAAATAAAAAAATTACAAAAATGTAATAATCGTTCATTCGAATCAAATAAGAATGGATGAATTATTTGTTTCACATCATTGGAACATTTGCATTGAAATGAATCCATGGTATACTAATTTCCAATAAAAATATTGTTGGAATGAATATAAAAGTTGAAAGAAAAAAAAATAAGAAGTTAAGAATGACGAGTGTATTCACCTCCATTGCCTCCAGGAACGTTGAGATTTCCCCCAGTAGTCTGATAAGTAGCTCCATAACTAGGCTCTTGTGCAAGCTCGTGAAGCCTACTTGAACTTAATGCCCGTGGGATAGCATTACTCGGTACACCGTGTGGCGCGAGATGAGTTGCCTCAGCCACTTGATGAGGATCCTCAGTCTGCGGTAAATCCGCAACGAATCCAGTATCTTTTCTGTAGAAATTTATGAAGATAAAGGCTGCTAAAACGACTGCGCAGAGGAGGCCATATCCACGGAACGTTGCAGTACTTCCTGGAAATATAAAATCAATGATTACCATGAATGCAAATTAGGCGCAACACCAATATTCACGGCTGGGTTAATATTTTTTCAATCGATAATTCTGTTACTGCAGAAATGAATTCCTTTCGTACATGGATAGAAACTGGCAGAAGTTGTTTAACAATTCCATTCAGAGAACAATTCTTGCTGAAAGTTTTTCTGCAGATTAAAGTTTTTTTAACTTCAACTGAATTTAATGTTAGCTTTTTTCTAATTATGAGAGCAGCGGGTTGTAGCTTTTGTTTTTCTGTTTGGTTTTATCATGTTCAGTTTATCAGAATAATAAAGAAACCCCTGTTGTGGGGGTTTCTTTATTACTCTCTGGAAAGATAAAATCGATAATTCTGTTGCTTGCAGCGGGAATCGGACGAAGTCATGTAACAATTTCAGTCAGAGGAAAATTTTTGTTTAGAATTTCGCTCAAAAGTTATCTTCAACTTCAACTAAAGTTAAAATTAATTTTTACTTTTTTCGGTTTAAGAGAACAATTCATTGCAATTCTTGTATTTTTATGTGTTTTTTTCACGTTCAGTTTGTCAGAATAATAAAGAAACCCCTTATGAGGGGTTTCTTTATTGGTCTACTTTATTACTTTCCGGAAAGATAAAATCAATAATTCTGTTGCTTGCAGCGATCAATTCGGACGAAGTCATGTAACATTTCCATTGAGAGGAAAATTTTTGTTCAGAGTTATCCCTCAAAAATTATTTTGAACTTCAACTAAAGTTAAAATTAATTTTAACTTTTTTCGGTTTATAAGAATAACCCATTATAATTCTTATGTTTCGTCTTTGTCTTTTGTTCTTGTCATGTTCAATTTATCAGAAGAATAAAGAAACCCCTGATGAGGGCTTTCTCCCACGAAGTTTTTACGTACAAAGATCTCCAGAAAATTTTCCAAATTAGGTGCAATACCCATATTCATGGCTGGATTAACATTTTTTTAAATTAATAATTCTGTTGCCTCCCGCAATTAATTTCCCTCGCCGTTGACTCAAAATCATCTATCAAAGATTTATGTGCACGAAAGATGAATTGACCCGTATTGTTTCACTAGATTAATAATGAATGAATGAATGAATGAATGAGGAATGGCTTCATCAATGTGAGGACTCACCGTAGCTCGCAACGAACATTCCCCCAATAACCGCCCCACATCCCCTCCCGAGACCGTGATGAAGCCCCTGGAGAACCCCTTGAGCACTTGATCGAAGCTGTGGAGGTGTGTTATGAGCGATGTAACTGCAGCATGCAGCCCAGACAGCGGCATGGGTGATCCCCTGGATGAATTCGAATGGCAGTACCCACCACGGATTCTTCAGGTATGAAATATAGAGGAAGCGAAGAATATTGCCGCCCAGACCCAAGCAGAGAACCTGAAGAATAAACCCATTCTCTCAAACATTCCTACAATTGTTAAAATATCTAGGGGCGGTAAGATGAGGTGATTCAGGCGGCATCATTAATCATTTTCAGTGGTTAATAACTCGAGATTGACAATGAGGAATTCAATTTTCTCTTGTTCCATTTTGAGGATTTTTCTTTAAGCTTTAAAATGCAATTTTTCATTTTTTCAATTTTCCGGATAAAATTTTTCGCGAACAAAATCTTCCGTTGGGGAAAATACACCCAAAAAGAATTAATGTTTTGCAAAATTGAAATGAATTTGTTTTCTGAGGACGAAAAATTGAACCATTGAATTGAATTGAAAAATTGAGTCAAGTTGAATTGATTGAATTTGAAAAAATCCATCTCGATTTACTATTTTTTCAATTTATTTCTCTTTCCATTGTTATATAGTTCGGTTTGTTGGTCATTAGTTTGTATTGTCAGTTGCTTTTCCACTGATTTTCTATATTCTCCATCAGTTAATTGATGTATTATTCAAGGGTTAAGATGAGCCTGAAGAATAAATCCTCCATTCTCTCAAACATTCCAAAAAGTGTTAATTATCTAGGGGCGTCATCATTAATCATTTTTCACGATCAATAACTCGAGATTGACCGAGTGGAATTCAATTTTCTCTTGTTTCATTTTGAGAATTTTTCTTTAAATGACACTTTTTTATTTTTTCAATATTCCGGACGAAATTCTTCCCGAAAAAAATCTTCCGTTGCGGAAAATTCACCCGAAAAAAATTAACATTTTGCAAAATTGAAATGAATTTTTTTTCTAAGTCGGGCTTGAGGAATTGAACTATTGAATTTAATCGAAAAATTCCGTCAAATTCAATTGATTGAATTTGAAAAAAATCAATCTCGATTTCCTATGGCTTGATATCGTTATGATTTGTTTGTCGCGTCAGTTGTTTTTCCACTAATTTTTATGTATTTTCTATCTGTTAATTGATCTGCTATTCAAGAGTAAAGGCGAGTGTAATTTTGTCTTTGTTCTTCATAGTTTTTTGTGAAATAAAGTGGAGTCCCATTTACTTCATTTTATGAAATAAAGTGAAGTCCCATTTATTTCATTTTATGAAATAAAATGAAGTCCCATTTATTTCATTTCATGAAATAAAATGAAGTCGCATTTATTTCCTTTTATGAAATAATAAAGTGAAATCCCAATTTTTGGATGTGGAGGAACTTGGTGTCAGGAGGAATTCCTTGGAGGAGAAATTTCCTTTAGTCCATCCATTCTTATTTCTCTCCTTATTTTCTCATTTACCTTCACATGACCAAATTCTCCAATGAGCCTGAAGCTGAAGAAATACGCGAATATCTCAGAGATATGATTGATCACAGAAGCAACTCCAAACAACGTTGGCGAGCCCCCGTAATCCTGGAGATGCCAGAAGAGAAAAGTAAAGATGAGTCCTATGCCGAAGCCCATGAACCAAGCGACAAAGAGGAACGAGGCACACTTGAGGTCCTTGAATTGCTTGAGGACCGTCACCCACTCGGGTATCTCCCTCGTTGTCTGGGCAAACATCTTCGTCTGGAAGAATTCATCAAGATTACGGATTTGAGATTATCGAGAATTCAGACGATAAAAACGTAATCGCGTCTTCATGAATTATTTAGTTCTCCACTTGATTGGCGCTTACTTTGCCCTCGGGGGGTGGAGCTACGGGGGGTGCTGCAGACGAGTCCTGCAAGCCTGGGAGATTCAACTGCTGAGATAATTCAGACTGCAGTTGCTCTTCTCTTGTTGGCTCCGCTGGGGGCTTCACAACCTCCTGGAAATTGAATAAAAAAATGAACGTTTTTTTTTTCCGGAGAATTAATTCTTTGAAGTTTTGTTCATTCTAGTCAAACACATGAAATAAATAACTCAATCGTTGAAAATCCTCTGTTCATGCGAATGAAAATTAAATTTATGCGTGAATAAGAGCTTAATCACTTGATTGATGAAGCTAAAATCGATTGATTTAAAATAATGAAGAATAATGAACTACAATGACACAAGAAAATAATAAAAAAAGACAAAGTTGAAATAAAAAATTTCATTTCGGCTCCAAAAACATTTTCTCACCGGTTGCGGAGCTATAAATTCATATTTAAAATTGATCTGGGTAGCGGTGATCAAAGCTGCCCCCATCAGAACGCTGAAGATAGCGAAACAGATTGTGTAATTCTTCTCCCTCGGATCGGGTGTGCAGGGATGATCGGGAAAAGACGTGCTGTGATCGAGGGCAATTCCAACGAAGAACATGGCCAGGCCCCAGCCCAGGCTCCCGAACATTCTCTGGTGTCCGTACCTGTCGGCATCCTCGCCGAGAAGCGTGATAACTGCTGAATCGGCTAGGGTTATCGCCGGAGCAGAGAAGAATTCTCCCACGATCACGAGGAGAAGCAGGAGAAAAAAGGTCTTTTGAATGTCCTGGAAGCAAGCGCATCATCAGTTAAGAGAGTCCATTCTGGGGAAAACTTTGCCCCGACAATGATTTCCCGGACGAAAATTTCCCCTGAAAACAATTTTTATCGCTTCGGCGTAAAGTGAGATTTTAATTCCACGTTTCACACATTGTCATGAAAAATAAGGCTCGACACTCGTGGGAAAAGTGGGCTTTGACGCTTGGGAGGGGAGCGCTGATCTCAGGCGAGTGACTACATCAAATTCAATTCAACAATTTCAATTGTGTCAGAAACAGAATAAAATCAGAACATCTCAATATCAGTTCCGTTTATTTATTGAGGGTATTCAAGTACTTTGGCAATTTTTTCCAGTAAAATGCGTTTTTACGTTTGTCATCGAACATCAGAGCTTTCATTTGAGCCCCATTTCACCCCAATTTTCCGGACTGATTTTGAATCTCGATATTGAAACGTGAGAAAATATTTTTAAAATCTGAAAAAAATAGAAAGTCAACTTTTGGGGGAAGACTGAAGAAATAATGAAAAAATTGCAGTTTTCAAAGAAAAATTAATTTTCAAAAAAAAATTTTCTGTAAAAAAAATATAAAACAACAAATTATAAAATAACAAATAAAACTAAAAAAATTAACATTACATTAAAAATTAAGCAATAATATTATAAAAAAACAAATTTATTCATATTCAGAATTTTACCAGAAATCGTATTAAAGCCTAAAAAAATAAGATTTCCGAAAGTTTAAATAATTATTTATTCATAATTTAATTATTCCTTATAAAATAAATAATTAAAATTAATTAATAGTATTAATTATTCAATTATTGATTTATAAACAACGAACATAAAAAAAAAAGATAATTTCATGCAAAATATAATTTGAATAACGCTAAATGTTCATGATATTTTGAAATTTTTCACACGTAATTTAATTGACAAATTTGATTCTTGGGTATCCTTAATTTTAGAAGTGTTTCAGACAATGAAGAATTCAGTCAATCTGATGTGATTCAATTTTTCAAATCAATTTCATTCCTCAACCCTCCCCCCCCCTAAATGAGATCAATTTCCTTGAATTTTTTTTTAATTAAAATTTCCTTGCATTTTATCAGACATTGCATTTTTTCGAGTTTTCTTCCCGGAATTCTTCGGGGAATTTATTCGGGAAAATTTTCTCCCCAAAATTTTGAAGAAGGGAAATTTTGCCCGGGGTCAAGCGTCCGCGCACGTCCCACTACCAAGCGAGCGGTTTTATTATCCTCAGGAGAATAAAGATATAGAACTCACTCCGAGTCGATAAACAATAGTGCTAAAAGCCGGTTTGACCCAGTCACTGTTCTCCTTGGGATCGTAATTCCTGGCGTTCTTCACAGACACTGGACTCTTGCCCTGATTCTGATACACGAACTTCATGCTCCTCCTCTTTCTGATGAGGGGCACGTCGACCTCTTCGACATCGGCGTCGTCCTCGAATTCCTCTATTTCAATGTCGTCTTGTTCTTCTGCAGACATGAGTCGACGTCCCATGGCATCGACTTCGGTGATATCTTGGTTTCCTTGGTTTGTGAAGAGCTCGTCGTGGAGGTCGACTGAGCGCTTGGCCAGTACTTTCGCACGAGGGGCCTTTGAATGCGATTTTGTTCTCGTGTGCGCTTTCTTGGGGGGTTTTGTCTCGTCGAGAGGTTCATTCTGATTGACAAAAATATAAAATTGACATTGGAGTGTTGAAATTCTTTGACTGAAATTTCTGGTACATTTTTTTGGAATTTCAAGGAACTTTGCGCGCAATTATTCCAGAGGAAATGAGTAAAAATAAGAAAAAACCAAGTGAATTCTTCAATTCCCAATTATTTGAAAATTCTGCGTAATTTGGTACTGAATGTTTATGTTTTGATTAAAACTTTAAGGAAGTCGAATTATTCTCGTCTTTCTGTTGAGTAATAATTTGAAATTGCGTTGAATTTTCAGTGCAAATTTAAATTTCATGATTTTTCTTCTCTAAATCGGATTTAAAGATATCCAAGTACTTGAGCTACTTTTTCACTAGTGAAATGCTTTTCTGCTTTTCCAGTCAAACATTGCTTTCATTTGAACCCCACAATGATTTTTCTATTTAAACTTTGCAGATCTGCCTCTGAATCTTGATACTGAACCATTAAAAAATATTTTAAAAATCTTAGACAAAACTAGAAAGTTTACTTTTTGCGGAAGATTGATGAAGTCATTTAAAAATTGCAATTTTTGAAAATTACAAGCATTTACCACAAGCAATTGATAAACAATAAATTCTCCACCATAAAAATCATTTGTTCAGAATCGTAACAAATTTATTCATATTCAGAATTTTACAGAAATCGATTTCAACCATTTCAGTTATTTATTTATAAACAACAAATGTTTTAAAAAAATCACTAATTTAATGACGCTGAGTATTCATGATTTTTTTCAAATCTTTCTCACTCAATTTACCCAACAAATTTGATGAGAAATTGACATATTTAAATTATACTTGGGTATCTTTAATGTCGCCCCCCTAAAGCCGACCAATCCCCCCCCCCTCATTATGTCAACGCATTCCTTGCACAAGACCCAAAAAAGTCCCCTTTATTGAACTCACTTTAAGAAACCTCTTGTACTCCAAAACATCAGCGGGCCGATTAGCCTTGGCGATAGTTCCAAAGTCAATGGTCTTAGCCGCAGGATCAACCATTTCAATTATTTATTTACAAACAACAAATGTTTAAAAAAAATCACTAATTTAATGACGCTGAGTATTCATGATTTTTTTCAAATCTTTCTCACTCAATTTACCCAACAAATTTGATGAGAAATTGACATATTTCAATTATACTTGGATATCCTTAATGTCGCCCCCCTAAAGCCGACCAATCCCCCCCCCCATTATGTCAACGCATTCCTCGCACAAGACCCAAGAAAGTCCCCTTTATTGAACTCACTTTAAGAAACCTCTTGTACTCCAAAACATCAGCGGGCCGATTAGCCTTGGCGATAGTTCCAAAGTCAATGGTCTTAGCCGCAGGATCATCCTCACCCCCCTCAGGCACAAACTGCTTATACTTAAGGTCGGTGGTATCCGCCTGCCTCCGGACCCTATTGCTCTCCAGCCGCTGCTTCATCCTGCGACTCGACACTTCATTCCCCATTAAATCGTACGAGTTTCTCCCGCGGTCCTCGTCGGCATAATCGGTGTCCCTCCTCAGCCTCCCGAAGACAACGTTGGCCGCCACCTCCAGATCCTCGTCGTCGCTCTCCTGGGGCTGGTAGAAATCGTCAAGGTCCACGTATCGCTTGCTCCGAGTGCCGGTTTTGGGAACTGCCAGCCACTCGCTGTTGTTGCTCCACTCCATGCAGGTGGTGGGTGGGGGCTGTGCAAAGCCAATGGGAAGGGTGAAGATTATCCAGCAGGAGAGCGACGCCAGGAGAATGATCTTGCCCTTCTGCCATCTGAAAATTTTCGACGGTCCTCTGGTCGGGCCCAAAGAACATGTTCTCTACTTCTACTCGATACTCTACATCTATTTGTCTGCGTGCATAGCGCGAAGCTTCATGGGAAGAAATAAATTCCTCAAACATGGGTTCATAGGGAAGATAACTTACGTGACAAAACGTAACTCTGAAGGAAAACACTCTGCATTGTTCTATTGAGATATTTTCTACAGATATTCGTAGTCTCAAATTTTTGTTTGATTTTTTTTATGAAAAAAGAAGAGAGATGGTGTACGAATAAATGAGGAAATTCGTGTTGGGGTTTTCCGATAGAGCAAATCTCAATAAAACAGTAGTATAGAAAGATGAAATTCTACTGAATTTTTCTATCATAGTACACTGAGAAAACAAGTTTTTTGATGAGTTCGGCTTTACTTTTATAGAGAAACTCACGGCTTGAAAATTGGTAATGAGGAAATATCTTACACTGAGAAAGATGAAACTTTTGTCGAGGAATCTTGAACTTGTCCCAACGTCGAGGATAATTTTTTTATGGGAAGAAAGGGATTTCTCAAGTTTCATTAAGTCTAGTTGAATCAATTTTTAGTTCAAGTCGTTTAAGTCGCTTTAAGTCTAAAATCCAAATTTTTTTAATGCAAAAATCACTTGAGTTGGTTTGAGAAGTCGCTTTCTTGTTGTGAATAAATAAAATCTCTTGATGAAAGGTTTCTTTTCTCAGTGTATATTTCGATACAAGTGCGTAAAAGTGTTTTTGACCCGTGGGAGAAAGAACACTTTCCCCACGAGTGTCAAACCCTATTTTTCATGAGGATCATTTTTTTATGACAAGAAAGGGATTTCGCAAGTCTCATCAAGTCTAGTTGAATCAATTTTACTTAACACTTTAAAACTTATAATAAAAAAAATTATTAAAAAATTGTTAAAAATCAATTTTAAACACTTTTTCACTTTACGGACTATTTTTGATGAAAAATAGTTTCAATTGGACGTTTTCTCTTAAAAAGCGCGCAGAAAAACGGCGGAATTCTTAACTAAAATTTCCCAAAAACTAATAAAATGTTCAATAGAAATTCAATAGAATGTCCCACCAAATTCGTTAGGGTTTTCCATGAATTTTTTGCGTGCGTGACTTTTTCTAAAACTTTCTCCTTCGTGCAGAGTGCATGTGCCGAATGCAAATCAGCTAGCTTTTCTACTCATTACGGTCTCAATATTTTTTTTGCCGGCCAAATGGATATTATTTTTTGCCATGACGGCCGCAGGCGGGGATTCACGGCCGCGCATCAGGCCGGGATTCCGTGAAGTGCTGCCTTACGGCCGGAATGACAAAAAGTCATTCTTATCATTCTTTCAACGCATTCAGCATTGATCAAACGGTCAAGACCTTTTTTTCAAAGCAGAGCGATTCACATTTCCTGTTATGTTACGCCTTAGAATAATCTATTTCACTCGATAAAGTGCATCAATCGCATTTCTCTATATGATACGTTTCAAATGATCGATTTTTCTCCTCAGTTACTGCATTTTTTTATAACTCCCTCAGCACTGATTTTACTGAAACGATAAAGACCTCGATCTCCTGCCGAAACTATCAGCATTCGGCTTTATAATTCATCTAAAAATAATCGATTTCTCTCCTAAAATAGCGCTAGAGCGCATTAAATTCGTGAAACATGAACCGTTTTTTTCAATAGAAATATTCAGAGGAAAATATTCTCCAGGAAAAATCAATACAATTCGACTTTTCTGTTCAACTTATTCAGATTTTTCCCATAGAAATCCCTCGGCTAAAATTCTCCAATTTTTCTCGTTTGACTGTTTCAATAAAAAGACAAGAAAAATTGAGTGAATAGAATTTGAAAAAATCATACCGACGAATTCGTACAGAGACAGTCTCAATAAATAAAGTACTATGAACAGATCAAATTCAACAGATTCTCTCTACAGAATATTTTCAATTGGAAATTTCTCATTAAAAAATCTCAATAAATCTGCGTCATTCCCGCAATACAACGGCCCAGAAACGAAGTGCAACACAAATCCGGTGCATTCGAACAGCCTCCACCAGTGACAACCAACTAAAATTATCATCTCAATTTGTCAACCCAAAAATTCCTCTCCATGTTAGTCGGAAAATCGATTTCTTCCCAGAAAAAAAGCAGCATTCCAAGTGGGCACTCACCTGTCAGCCAAGGAGCCCCAGAAGGGTGCGCTGAGGAATTCAACGAAGGGCCTTAACCCAATAAGAAGCCCACATTGTCCAGCATTCATGCCCATCTGCTTGAAGTACACCCCCATGAGTGGAAATAACGATCCAAAAGCCGAGTAGAAGAAGAAGTAGAATGTCTTCACAGTGAGTAACTCCTGATCAACAGTGCCAAAAAGATACTCAAGAATATCGCTCTTGCCTCGTATCTTGTGGGTGGCCTCCTTGGGTTGTCCGTAGATCGTTGGATCCACTTCGCCCTCAGCCAGGGGATCGACCTTGGGCCGTACACCAGGTGGATTAGGGAGATTTCTTCCTCCACCCTGAGCGCCCGATGCATCGGCACCGTAGTCGTAATCCTCGTGTCCATAATTTTGCATTATTACGTATTCGAATTCACTTCACTTTTAATTTTTTCCCCCAACTCCAATCACTCAGAATTTCAAAAAAAATCCTCGATTTTTTTCCACTTTTTTTTCCCTCTCGAGGGAGACACAAGAATTTTAACAAAAAAATAGCACCTTCACACTATTCTTACGACCTCGTACCTCCAAGCAATCCCTTTAGCTTGTTGTGTCAAATCGATGACCGAGCGTGCACCTTCTCTTCTACTTTTCACGTATGAAATCGATAGACGCTTCACTGCGCCGACTCCAAACTCTATACCCCATTTCCTTTTCACCCTCCGGAGGGCGGTGGGGGTTGACGAGTGCTCGACCTCTTCCACTGTTGTCACTACGAATACCTCTAGCCATTAACCAATGATTGAGGGATGGAGGAGGACAGGGGAGGACATTGTCGAGGCACAAGTCTGATCATTTCCTGGGGGGTTTTGTTTTCCTGAATTCAGGAAACGGATGCGTTGGGGAAATTGTCACTGTTTCCAGGCGAATGATATTGACGGGCTTTCGTACTCGGGGGTTTCTTAATTGAGTTATTGTGGGGGGTTTCATTTTGTCAAGATTATTTTATCAATTTTTGGATTCAAGTGTTTACGATTTTTTAGTGATTGTTATGGTGCAGCTGCACTGTTGAAAATTTTCTACGTGTTCAAGTTGCAGGGGAATCTCAGAAAATTTTGTCGTTGAACAATCAAATGTTCCGGTGATTTTCTGTTCAAATGATCCGGAAATCAATGAAATAGTTTGTTTTTTAGTTCAATTATTCCGTGAAAATTCAGAAAAATTCAGGGAAAAATTGAAAATTCATGGCATTTTGATTCTGAATATTCAATCAAGTTGCGACATTTCCATCTCACTCCCACTCCCACTTAAAACTCATGAATTTCCGTCAATTCTACTTAAAATGCGAAATTTCATAACCATTTTTCCCCTAAATGCGATTCAATGTCACTCTCTGAGATTTACTATAATATCTTCCATGAAATTTCAAAAGATTTGTAACAGCTTATGCTTTCTATCATGAGTTTTTTCATGTTGATGTATTCTTGTTGATCAAAATTATTCATTTTCCGAAGAGTTTTGTTGTCCTGAATTTTGGGGAAATTGTCACTATTTCCAGGCGAATGATATTAACGAACTTTCGTACTCGAGTGATTTATTCATTCAGGTATTATGTGGACTTTTATTTTTCCAAGATTACTTCATCAATTTTTAGATCAATTTTTTTACAATTATTCATTGTATCAATATTTCTCTTTTTTTGTTCTGTATTGATACACTTTTGTTGATTTTTTCATTCGTGCCTGAATAATTTTAAATGATGAAAGATTCAAATAAAAATTTCATCACTCAGAAATGAAATCATTCGACCGAGACAGAAAACGACTTTATGAGTTCATTAATAACTTCAAAAATTTTATTAAAATGATAATTATCATGTGAAAAATTGAGTTAGCTAACACCCTCCCCCCTTTCCCAAAAATCAACAGCGCAGACCCCACAGTAGGATAATCATTATCATCCACCATCTACAGCGGGAGTTTGCATTTCCACATTTTCTTCTCGCCGTTCTCTCGGCGCCTGTCGCGCGCTGTCGCACGTTTGACGTCATCAGCAATTCACACTTCCATTGACCCCGATTGAGATTACAATGTACTCTCGAATAATAGGTGGACAATAGTATTATCGGTGATTGTTATTTTCCAATGGCTGTGATTCCCGAAGGTCGATATTTTCATTTCACATTTCACACTGTTGGATAATGCGATATCAACAATTTCAATTAGCAATTTAACGCGATGAAATATTCCATGATTTAACGATTAGAAACATAGAATATTAGCCAGAGGTCTCACCTTTTTTGTCAACACTGGGATCAGTGAGGTCATTCCAATTGCTAATGATCGATATAACAGTTAACGATAAAATTGTTGAGATCAAACTCGGGTGACCTTGAATTTTTCCACTAATTAGAATTTTTCATAGTTTATCTGCTCTTCCTGTTCATGTGTCTGGCATTGACAATGTGGTGCTAATCGTCACGTAGACATTCAGCTGTTGATATTTTTAATTCTATAGAAATACGAGGTGCAGTTATAGTCGTATTTATTGGATTAATGTAGATTTACAATTCTAATCTGAAATACCCTCAGTGTTACGAGGCACCGTTCCGAAACAATAGCAAAATTTTCCTATTGTCCCTTTGGCCTGCTGTCTCTTATGACAATGTCACAAGAGACAACAGGGGGATGGTCTTAGTTTCTTCACAGCCGTTGTTTCCATTAATAATAATAGCTTCTCAGGAAACATTTAATTCGTCGAGATATGACTTTATTGCAAAATGAGAAAAGGAAAAATAACATCATTCTAATAATTGTTATTATTGTTATTGTTATTTTTCTTATTGTTATTGTTATTGTCAATGATTCTTGGGGTAATGCAGGGAATTCCCCGACGAATTTATTGAACATGAATTGAAATGTGGATGAATTTTCTGTTTATTTCGCTTCGATTGGCTAAAGATGATTCCCACATAGATTAATACAATTTCTAATGCTGCAAACTAAACTCATTTGATTGTTCATTTGATTGGATATTTTCCTAAATTCCCACTAGAATTATCAAGTGACTTAAGAAAATTAAATTGTGTTAAATGGGAAATTTAAGAATAGGTACATTCTCCTGTTCATTTGACCCCAAAAATTACAATCGGAATGGAACAATTGATTCATTGCATCAATCCAGGACACTTGCCGCAATTGTAATCTGAAATACACCGGAAGTTACGGGACAACCTTCAGAAACAATAGCAAAATTTCTGACAATGTACAAGAGACAACAGGGGGATGGTCTTAATTTCCTCGCAGCTATTGTTCCCATTAACAATAATAGCTTCTCAGGAAACATTTAATTCGTCGAGATATGGTTTCATTTCAAAATAACAAAAGATAAAATAACATTATTCTAATAATTGTTATCGTCGTTGAGCAGGAACAAAATATGAACGAAATTTTCGTTTCCCAAATAAACCAATAAAATTTCTAATACAGTAAAACGTATTCATTTGATTCTCCAATAGTTTTTACATAAATAAAATTATTTTCATAGAGTCCTAGGGCGGATATTCGAAGAACACCTCAATTTCCATTAAAATCATAAAATGACATAAAAAAATTACGTTGAGTTGAATAGGGAATTTAAGAACAGGTCCATTTTCCTTTGCATTTGCCCACAAATAACATCAATAACAACAACAACAATAATAATATTAATAATAATAATAATAATTGTTCTCGCCAGTGACACTCGACGAATTTCCCATTTATTTCAATCTTAACACAGATTTACTGAATTACTCAATAGTTAACAAATTCATAGGGATTAACATCATCCTCAAAAATCATCACACAACATCAAAAAAATAATTACATTGAGTTGAATGGAAAATGCAAAAATCGGGTGCATTCCCCTTTGCATTTGGCCCACAAAAATATAATCGGAATGCAGCAGCTGATTCAACAAGTGATTCATCCGATCTGAAATTTGCTGCAACCAGAAGGGATCCGAGAACAATTGTGTTATCATTTCATCACCCCAGTGTTTACAAACAATAGCCCTCCCCAAACAATAGCGATATAAATACAATCACTCGAGCAGCACGAGCCGAGTTCGTGGCTGAATCCAGTAAAATGGAAATGGAAAAGTGGTGGATGTGACTGGATGATCGGGAGAAGGTGATACGAACTAGCCAGTTTTTGTTCGGTTAATAAATATCTTTATTGGCTCACGATGACATGACGATTGATCGACATGAATAGTGTATCGCTTAGGAAGTAGGGTCTTAGGTACATTGGAGTGCTCCTTGGTGGTGGATTGTTCAGTTCTTGAAAATAACTTGCGGCAGGACATCCATACGAGATTGCTGGGGGAAGACTGTGGCAGAGGCTGATGTTGAGGATGGGGCTGGCTTCGGTGGCCCCTGGAACATGCAGGTTTTTGAGGTCTTCAGGAGGCGACCGTTGTTGGCCGTTCGCCAGTAGACTGTCCTCACTGCCTGCTTGCCGGCTACGTAACTCACTGCTCCACCAATCAGCATCTGTAAGTTCATTTATTTCTTTATTTATTTATTCAGTTATTCATTAATTCATTTATTCATTTATTTATTCATTTTAATTTGTAAAATTATTCATAAAGATATATATCCGAGGGACCGATTTCTCCAGTCAAAATTTCCAGAAAACTCGACTAGATTCGGAATCCTAATTTTTTTTTTTTCAATGTAACGATCGTTTTGATTTTTTAAAGAAGATATTTTTAAAAACCAGGATTTAACAACGGCACAATAAAATATCCAGCACTTTGCGTTGAAAAATTTTGACTCAAATTTCTGCTGCACTTCTGGGGCATTTCGAGGGATTTCGTCATTGAGAGTTCACAATTTCATGAAAAAGGCAAAGGAAACTGTAATTTTTCCGGCATTTATTCCCCGTAAATTAATAGAAATCCAAAAAATTCCCGTAAATGCATTCTTAAATTTAACGATTTTCTCTCCAAATGAAGGGTAATGTCCCTCTCCTAAGAACCACAACAAATCTGCCCACGAAATGACAATTTTTTCCTAAAATTAATCTTCAAATGATGTCGATTTTGCCTCTTACCTTGATTAGATTTGTTGTATACTGTTAAAGCGTTGACTAGAGAATTGAATAACTTCAAATAATTCGAAGTTATACCAGCTTTTGCAGAATAGCAACGATTAAATGAACTCTAGTAGTATCAAGAGAGCCCGCGATTCGTCATTCGCGGTTGCTATTCGTTGTGAAGAGCTGAGTAGAACTGATCATCTCAGACCCGGCCATTCCGATTTATACGAGTGCTGTCCCATCGCAAGCAATAATTGGGGGGACGAGGGGAGACAGTGATAAGAAATTTCTGACCACGTTCTTGAGTGTATGACTGCGTCATGCTGTTGCCTGCTGATTGCTTGGTTCGCGGGATTTCGAGGAGGCATGCTAGATCCGCGCTATCTCACCGGGAAATTATTGTCCGAATGACTGGAGCACGTGCTCCCAGGTGGAATAAAGAAATATCTCAGGGATATGAAACGAAAAATTGGATCAATTGCCAGTGATGAGATAGCGTTTTGATACTGAAGAATTGATTTCAAGGCTCATTCCTCATGATTTATCGGGGGTAATGACGAATTATCATTGGACTAAACTTATCAATCCGACGAGATTGAGGAGTCGGTGGGGTGATTCCTCTTGACACCGGTTTTCACGATAAAACATAGAGACAAAGTGTAGGAGTCGACGGGGTGTAAAGGTTTGTTGATGATTTAGTTTGTGATATTTGTAATCAATTGATCAATCCTGCGTCAGATTATTTTCCCCTGGACTCTGATTATTGCGCACTAGATCGATCACTAGATCAATTTGCAAATCCCAATTCGCTTCATGATTAGTTCGGTTGCTTGGGCTAGACGAAATTTTACTTGCGGTGTTTTAATTACTACATTTTGTGTTGAAAGAATTTGATTACATTTTTAATAAATGTTGCAATTGAGGTAAACTTTAATGTATTGTCTCAATGCACATCTCAACAAATAATGATCTGTAATGAATACAGCTATTGTGTTAATTAATAACTTAATGAGCAGCTCGATAAATTAATAGCACTCAATGATTGATGATAGCAAATGCAAAATTCAACAAATTCTATTCAATTTCCAAACATTTTAATTTTTCCAATAAATAATGCAACATAATAAATGCAATTGTTTCTTCAATTAATGAATGGATGAACAGCTCGATTAATTGAAAACACTATAGTTTGATGAACAAAATATAGCGTAAATACTCAGTAGAAAACAATGAAAAGATTGACTTTTTTCTTTTGGAAAGGATAATATTTGATGGTTTAGCATTTTATAATTTGATGCATTGAGGGGTATAAAGGTTTGTTGACGATTTAGTTTGTGATGTTTGTAATCAATTGATCAGTTCTGCGTCAGAGTATTTTCCCCTGAACTCTGATTATTGCGCAATAGATCGATTATTACGTGTGACGATTAGTTCAGTTGTTTAGACTAGACGAAATTTCAGCTTGCAACCGAGATGAGTTCCACATCTCAATGAATAATAAAACCCAATGCATACAACTATTGCGTTAATTAATAACTTGATGAAGAGTTTGATCAATAAACAACACTCAATGATTTGATGATAAAAAACAAACTTCAAAAATTTAGTGAAGAATAATTAATAATTCCGTTTCATTCATCACCAGTCGATTTGGATTTTTGTAATATAGAGAGATTATCATCATTTATTGAGAAAGTCAGCATTTCTAGAGTATTATTTTGAAATACTTCGTCCCTTCAATTCTTCCATTAAATTTAAATTGATGAATTGAGCAATTCCGCAACGCGCAATTGTCCAGGTTTCAAGATATTCGAAGATGGGTTTTCTGCACGGAGAGAAATATTCAGCAAAAATTACGGAACAATTCACGTAATCCACAATGGGGAATCGTTTTCCGCCAATTTTTATAGGAATGGAAGAGAAGAAATCTGGAATGTTCAGTGAATTCTCAGGTTCATCACCGAACAAAGTACGAAATTGATACGTAATTTCCCCCGAAGAAGTAAAATCTTACAGAAACTTCCCGACTTATTATGCCTCAAAAAAAAAAAATTCTTGAACGTTCAACAATTTTTATGGAGCTGGTGACTTATTTCTACGTTCCGTTCCGTAAAATTTCTCAATAGTTGGGGAAAAATTACGGAACGACTTGTTGTTGTCCCCACAGCGGTGCGTATCAGACGGTTAATTTTTACAGAACAAACCGTAGAATTTACGTGGCGATTCGTACAATTTCAGTTCCGACTCACACTTTTTATTGAATTTTACTTCGCTCGCAGATTACGTTTCGAAACGTAATTCTTACGTTTTTTTTCTGGAAATTTTTATTGAATTTTTCTCTCGGTGTGATGGCATTACTCATAGATGGTCTACTTGTTTAAATGACGCTAGCTGAAAAAGCATTGCGCGTGAGTTGAAATGTTATTAACGGAAATTCTCTAGTAATTCTCTAGTTCTAGAAAATCTCTTTATCAATAAATTCGCTTGAATTTATTGATAAAGAGATATCATGAGAATCATCTCGTCGAGTCTCCGTAGATCCCCCTCTCGTAAACAATGATGCAGTGATTGCATTATCAATTAGTCTAGAAGCTTCAATGACGTTCAGACTGATTTTCACTAGTTGATTGACGTATGCGCATCGTATAATTCGAGAAAATACTATTGTTTGCTAGTGTACCTTGTACCCCCGTTATGTCACTTCCTGAAACGTCAAGGGATCATCTTTCATCATCAGCGCCACGTTCTGCGCAAAATATTTTGTGTTTTGATGTACCTGTTGTGGAAAATATTTCCCTCGTACAAACATGAATCGCAGACACAGAAAATATCTGAAAATAAATACCTGAAATTTTTCAGACAAAAAATATCTACCGTCATTTTCAGACACTTTTGAAGATTCAGACGTTTTTTTACCATCTGACAATCTTAAATTCAGACAGCTATCAGACACCTGGTTTTTGTAGTCAGATAAGTCTACTTAAACCGTTTTGCCACTTCGCTACTGAATTGTTTCGTCACTGTGGCAAAAAGTCCTATTTTTCCCTGCGCGTGCACTCATTCATGAGTACCATCTGATCACACATCGGTACAACTCGCTCCGATAATTACGTCATATCAATTTTATCAGGTCATGCGGAGTGAGAATGCTTCGAGTGGGCCTGATGTACATTTTCAGGATAGTAGACAGTTCTCAAGAGGGTTCATGATTTTAATCACTTTAATCTCATGGCCATTCTCCCGTCTTTCCCCGGACGTATGAGAATTCGCTGAGGGCATGGTTCGACTACTTTATCAGTTTGGATAACAAACATTACTACAAAATGAAGAGAGCCGGAGGCGTGAGCCTACAAAAGCCTGAATAGCATTGTATTCCAGGGAAAAAACGTGATTGAAGACTAGGTTTCCACGTAAGCCAAGCAACAAAACGATCTTAGTCGTTTAGTGCCTGAAAACAGGAAAGTTTTTCGAATCCTTCCCTGGAAACAATCTCATCTGATAAGGAAGGCGAATTTAATCTCTAAGATTTTATTTCGTGCTTCGGTCTCACGATATAAATACCTGCTTTTACCAATCTGATCAGCTGGCCAAACATTGCTGTTCAGAATCCTGGGAAATGTTTGGATCACTGGCGCCACTGAGTCTGCTACGATATCACCGCTTTGTTATCTTCCCCCGTCGGAGCAGAATGAGAAAAAAGCTAATAATTCCATGAGGCATCATTTCTTGGCGGATTCCCAGGATATTCTGTCGTCTGGAAAGTTTTGAGTCTTGAATTGTCTCTCGATTGTTATGAGCGGCTTAAAGCGGTTTTGATTATTTTTATTTATTTGCACGGATGATGCAATTTCTTTGAACAGTTGAGATTTGTATTTTCTCAAGGTTTTTTTGTATCTGATGGAAATGTTGGATTCTGAAGAAATTTCGTCATTTACGCAGTTTCGGTCGAGAGTCAATTTTCGTAATATCGTTTATAAAGTGATGATGCAATTTCTTTCCATAAATTGAGATTTATGTTCTTCAAGTGTTTATGTTTCATTTTTTCGTATTTTTTCAGAATAAAGTAAGCAAAAAATATAAATAATTCTGTGAGAACTGCTATCTTGACTGATCCCCAAGAAAGTTCGTCGTCTGGAAAGTTTTGAGTCATGAGTTAATTTCTTCCTGATTTCGTTCTTTTTGTCAGCGAATGGAAATTCAGGAAATTTAAATTAATTACAATCCTGGATTAAAGCAACAATCTTCTTATCTGCACCAAAGAAACACTTCTTAATTCATTATTATTCTTTCTCCTAGACCAAAATGAGAACTATGAAGCGTAAATAACTCCATCAGGCATGTTGTCTTGAATGACAAGCCATTGGATCTCGATTGTTATGAGTGAAATGAATCTGGCTTTGTTAAACGAGTTGAGATTTATATTCTTCAAGTATTTATTTTTCATAATTTCCTAGAAAAGAGTAAGTAGAAAGTCCAAATAATTTCAAGAGGTGTGGATTCTTGGCTGGTCCCCAAGAAATTTCGTAGTTTTGAGTCATCAGTACATTTCTTCCTGATTTCGCTTATTTAGTCTGAAGTGAGAATGCAATTTTTGCTAACAAATTGAGATAAATGTTTAAACAGTGTCTTTTTCTGAGCCAATGGAAATTCAGGAGTCGACTTCCTTGTAATCCTGGATAAGAGCAGCAATGTCCTCCCTAGCTTCCTCGAAGACGCTTTCCTCCATTCCCTCCCCAACATAATGATGAACAAAAGCTCTCTTCGCAAACATGAGGTTATACTTTTTGACTAATCTCTCCCAAGCTTGGCGAATAGCCGTGCTGTTGCATAACATTACGACAGACTTATCAGACGCGGCCAAATCGCCACCGGGTACCGTCGTCGGTGGTTGATAATTAAGTCCAATCTGTAATTATCGTTTCAATTGTGATTAAACGCAATTTCCGGGTGTTGGAGCCTTTCTGGGAATGGAGTTTCATTTACCTTGAAACCTGTTGGACTCCAGTCGACGAATCTAATGGATTTTTTTCCCTTGAGTGAATTGATTGCGCTGTTGACGTCGTTTGTACTCACATTTCCGCGGTAGAGCAAACAACAGCTCATATAAGTACCTTTTCTCGGATCGCATTTAACCATCTGGAAAGTTCATTTGAAGCGGACGCTTTTATTTATTGCACAAAAGTTAATCCCGTTAATCCAATCAGTTAAATTTTGTTTGGTTCGAAAATTGGTTTGGTTTGAAAATTCGAAGAGAATATTCGCATCGAAAAATCGAAATCTATTGCCGTTTGACTATCAAATATCTCATAGAATCAGCGCAAAAAAATGGAATTTTAACGAGAATTCCCTAACATTTTAATCGAATCCCAATAGAATTTCTAGAGAATTCCAATAGAATTTTCTAGCGAATTCTGAGGAGCTACTCACTCCTGAAATCACGGCGCCACTCTGGCATAAAATTATTCCGAGTAGCCCCTTGGCGAATTCGCTAAGTTTTTCTGTTGAATTTTCTCACACGTGTTTGTGTGAATCCTATAAGAATAATTGAGCAATTTGACTCCTATCGAACTGTTTCGACTTTATCTATTTGAATTGTAGATTCATTTCATTAGGACAATAATCGGAATTGATGGACAACCTGATTGGCAGGTTCGAAGCACTCGCTGGTGATTTGTGAAGTTGTGACGTTTGAGTTGATCGCTTGTCTGACGGTTGTGATGGGGGAATATGTTATCAGAGGAAAATGAATTCTCGGGTATGGGACTAGATTTGTCTGGAACTCCTCGAGACCAACATTCGGCGATCCTTCGAATCTCAGGGAAGCTGTTACTGCCGACACAACTTGCGCCTGCAGGCGATTCAGATTCGTGTATGTTGGGGAATCAACATCCAAGTTTCTGGGATAAATCATAAATGATTATGACGGGAAAATCGCGGGCCCTATCGATTTTGCCCCGTATAACCACGAAACACTTCATTTTTTCCTGTTTTTACCTTCAAAATGATCCTTACGCCGTAATTTTCATCCAACTTTAGCTCTTTTTTAAATGATCGTTACAGTCCAAAGAGTAAAGTCAAGCATCCGTTTTACGTTATTCGCAATAGATCATGAATAAATGAATTTTGAATTTCATAAAATTTTTCGCGTCTCTAGAGTAGGACTAAAAATTCATTGTTTTTATGAATTAAAAAAATGGCAGGTTGAAGCGAAAAGGCGGGTTCAAAAGAAAATTTATTTATCAAATTTATTTATTTATTAAAATTTATTTATTTATGAACTTGCTTAACTTTATTGTTCGGAGTGTAACGAACTTTAAGAAAAAAAAGCTGAAATCGTGTAAAACCTACGACACAAGGAGCATTTTGAAGGTAAAAACAGCAAAAAATTGAGTCTTTCGGGGCAAAATCGATCAGCTCGGTGATTTTCCCTAGTTACTCCCATATTCCGTTACGTTTACAAACTGTTGAGTGGGTCCCAAGGCCCAGTGGAGACTTTTTGATCAGTTGAATTTCAAATTAATTCACAAACATTCTCATCTCATTGACGACACGTAGCTCGCGTCCTGGAGAGTGTCTTACCTAGAGCAAATATCGTAAAGCGCCTCGTTATCAACGACAAAGCAACAGTCCTCGTAATCAAGTGTCCCGTGGGTGGTCAGTACTGCGTTGTAGGGTTCAACGACTGCTGTGGAAATGTTGGGAGCTGGGTAAACAGCGAAATCAAGTTTGGACCGTTTACCGTAGTCAGATGTTAAGTGCTCAAGCATTAGAGTGGTAAATCCACTTCCAGTACCACCGCCAAAGGATCTAATTGTGATAATTGGGTAGAGAAAATGATTTTTGATTTTCAGGAAAATGTCACTGATGTCCAGGGACATTTCACTGATTTCCAGGAATCTGTCGCCAATTATATTTGGGTAGACTCCTAAAAACTGGAGATGAGTCCCGGAAAATCGGTGACAATATTTTTAATGTTAATGAATATGTCACTGTAAATTGGAGACAAAATCACTGACATAATCTTTGAATTTCATAACAACGAATCCCTAATAATTGGGTGTAAATTCTCAAGAATTGGGGATAAGTCCCTGAAAATCTGTAAAATGTCTGATCTGAATTGTCTGAATGTTCTGCCTCTGTCTTAATCTGGCGACCAAGAAATCCTGGAAATATTTTTGAATGCACCTTTTTAAAAAATTGAATTGATTTTGTTTTCTCTTCAAATTTCCGCAATAACTGTTACTTAAATATAATATATTCAAACATTCGGGTTCTGAAATTGTTCATATTCCCGTTCTTAAATCGATATTTCTACTGTTTATTAATAATTAATTTCATGGAGATTGGCGTAAGAAACACTAGATGAATTGATTTGAAACCTGAAAACAATGAATCCATTCAATCTGGAGCAAGCCTCGCAGACTTTTCGAATCCTATCCAACACGAGCTCCACCATCTCCTGGCCGATTGTGTAATATCCCCTCGCGAAATTATTCGCAGCGTCTTCCTTACCAGTTATTAGTGATGACGGATCGAAGAGATATCGATACGCGCCCGTTCGTATTTCATCGATTACCGTTGGCTCCAGGTCCGTTATTACAGTCCGTGGGCAGAATTTTCCGGACTGAAATAAAGGTGGAATGTTTCATGACGCTCCACTTCATCAGGGTCAAGTTACATCTACGGGTCCGATTAATTAATGGGGTGAAGGATAAATGGAGATACAGCGGCGATCATGTCTAATTGATTAACTCAAACAGTAATTTTCTCCGGCAAATAATTTCTTCTCACTTCTCAAAATATAAACGAATGTTTATTTAATCGAAATGAAGACTTAATAAAATCCAAATAAAATCATTTGGTTGAACGGCGAGGAGAACAAATTTATTAATTCTTCTATTATTTATAAATAATAGAAGAATTTTAAATAAAAAATCTATTTAATGCTTTGACGGGTTCGATTAATGAATGAGGGGTTGAAAAATAAATAGCGAAGCAGTGACGATCATTTCTATTTGATTAACTCAAATGGTAATTTTCTCCGGCAAATAATTTTTCTCAAAATATAAACGAATGTTTATTTAATCGAAATCAAGACTTAGTAAAATCCAAAGGAAATCACTTGTTTGGACGGCGAAGGGAATTGATTATCATGTCATAATCCTTTATTTGGGGAGAAGGAATGACTTATTTCATCATTGAAACGAATAGATTTTCAAATTTAGAAAAATTATTTGACTCAAGTGCGTCACTTCTTCGGGATTAATTCCCTCATTTTTTTCTTTGTGTAATTTACATTGAAATAGTTTCACGGATGATGAACATTACTTGTGTCGGGGTGAAGAATGCTTGATACGAGCTGTCGTCAGTCTCATAATTCCCGAGCATGCATCCATCACTCGTGATTCCATGCTCCAGACAGAAAAGCTCCCAACAGGCATTAGCCACTTGGACCCCAGCTTGCCCGATGAAAATCGTTACCACCTGGCCCTCGTTCATATTCTCCCAGACTTCGCTAATGCAACAGACTGTTTTCTCCAGAAAGTACGGAATTAGTGCAGAATCACTCCTTAGGAAAATTCACTTGTGGATTTTTAGTGAAAAATCATCGAAATGAAGACATTCTTTCCAATTTCTTTGAATGCATTTTGTTAAATTTAGAAGTTGAAATGTACTGGCACATCTGATCCTCGTTCATATTCTCCGAGACTTCACTAATGTGAGAGACTCTTTTCTCCAAATCATACCGAATTAATGCAGAATCACTCCTTAGGAAAATTCACTTCTGGATTTTTAGTGAAAGATCATTGAAATGAAGACATTTTCTCCGATTTCTGTGAATGCATTTTGTTAAATTTAGAAGTTGAAATGTACTGGCACATCTGATCCTCATTCATATTCTCCGACACTTGACTAATGTGAGAGACTCTTTTGTCCAAATCATACCGAATTAATGCAGAATCACTCTTTAGGAAAATTCACTTCTGGATTTTGAGTGAAAAATCATTGAAATCAAGACATTTTCTCCGATTTCTTTGAATACATTTTGTTAAATCTAGAGGTTGGAATATACTGGTACAACTGAACCTCGATCATATTCTCTGAGACTTGACTAATGCAACAGACTGTTTTCTCCAGAAAATGGGGAATCAATGCAGGATCACTCCTCAGGAAAAATCACTTGTGGATTTTTAGTAAAAAATCATTCAAATCGAGACATTCTTTCCAATTTTAAAACAAAATTTTCTGACTTTCCAATTTTTTTTTTAATTTTTCTGAAACTGTCGCCATGATTAACGGCGTCAATTGTCTTCCCGACAGGTTGCACTCGAGAAGGAATCTGCTGATTATTTCATGCCACAGGGGGCATACGTTAACTCCGCCACAATGTTTTCTTGGCAGAATAATTAAGAACACATGATGATGATTAACGCTTACACTGAGAAAAAAAATGCTTTCGCCAAGGATATTTACTACCTACAAGAAAATTTATACATGTCTTATACAAATATTTATGTACATTTACTTGTGGCAAGTAAATATACTTGGCAAAAGCAATTTTTTTTCTCAGTGTGATGTCTAATACACGCCATGTTTTACAATAAAATGAATTTTACAGAAGATTTCCCAATGGTTCGCTGGTAATCTTTCTGAATTGAAATAATCTTCTATAAGAAAATTGGTGAAACGTTTTCTGTCACCGATCTATTTCACCAAGTCATGTCATGTTCATGGAATAAGAATTCTAATCGTAGCTCAGCGTAGATTATTTTATATTATCTTATTCAATTTTTCAAAAATATATATTTACATAATTTTTTTTTTGATAATATGTCTTTTTTTTTTATTTTCTCAATTCTCAATTTCAAAAAACATTACTTACATGAAAATAAAAATATAAAAAGAATTGGTTTCAATTTTTTCATATAAAAAAGTATATAGAATATATAATATGTCTACAATATATAGTATATATACAATATATACTAATATATTAAAAAAAAATCAATTTTTAAATGAAAAAAAATTAATAAAAGAATTCTGGACATATATTTATTTGGGTTTCGGATTTGGCGCGGAACTGTGCATATATATTCCAATAACAATAACATATCATTGACGAAACTTAGTTAAACTGAAATCCATGGCTCGAGGATGCGCGCGGATATTTCTAGTTTCCTTTGTACATTTTCAAGTGGTACATATTGGAATTGTGCGGGCAGTTCATCTTGTGACACATTAGTGAAAATGCAGGCGGTTAAAACCGTATTTTCTCATGTCCTCCAGCATTTCCAAAATTGATTATGAGTACTGGACGGTACTCAGGGGTAGAATGGACCCTTCAACCCCTTTTAACAGTGACTTTATTTATCATTCATTCATATTTTTGATGGATTAATCAAAATAAGAAATTGACATTTCACATGAACATTTTTGGAGTAATTTTTAAGAAGATGAGGTTCGATTTAGGGATGAAAAAATCGAACAATTCCAAATTTTTCTGATCATTTTCTCTCTCAGAAAATCGAGAATTCAAATGGGCATCTTCATTCGCCGTGAATATTAACAATTAACATCTGTAATAAATTATTGTCGATAAACAATAATGGAATATTCATCATCGACAGCTGAGAAAGACCATCTCTTCTGTCCGCACGGTCGATTAACTGGAATCCGCTGCAACTAATGGCCAATAAGTCAGAACTCGCAACCTGTCGGTAACATTTTTGCATAAAAATAGTATTTTTCCGGCCTGTTGCGATGGGGTTTTTTACTCGTGTGGCGTTGGCCTCCGAGCCGTAGGCGAGGGCTGGCCAACCACACGAGAAACAAACCCCATCGCAACAGCCTAGGAATAATATTTTTCTGTAGTGATTTTCAAGTTTTCGAGTTTGGGAAGTATGTAATACCAATTCCCAAACGAGAAATCGTGAGAAGCAGTACAGAAAACCCTATTTTGTGAAATTGTCGGGCGCTTCATTTCCCGAAACGAATTTCCGCGATCGAATCCCCACCCAAATGGCAACTGCATCTCTCTGAAATATGCGCTGATGCAATGCCACATCCGCAGCACGCGACGACTAGATGCGCATACCTCTCCAACCGGTTGATTATTTCTACAAGTGCACCATCCTCCAATTTTCCAATTTAGAGACCCATGAGTCATCGCCCCAACAACGAAATAATTCTTGTCTTGTTTAGAAGTCGACCGAACGTTCGAAAACATTTATGATCTTTTTATTATCAGTTCGTTCATAATTTTTTGTGCTTGAATCTGTGTTTGAATATTTGCAATTAAACATCAGAACTTCTGTTTGGCTGTTTAATTCTATTATGAAGTGTTTTAAAAATCTGTGGAAATAAGTAAAAAAAGAAATAATTGAAATTTTAAAATTCCTCAAAACTACAATTTCTAGAAATGATGAATTATAGGCGATTGAAATTTTTTATGTCATATGATATTTAAAACAAAAAATACGTATTCAACATTTCAAATACCATCTTTATCCCCTGCTTTATTCATTGAAGAAATTCGCTGAAACAATCCAATTTCCATAATTTATTCATAGGATGAATAAACCATTGGAGATAATAATTGAATAAAAATTGGAGATGGTCATTCTCCAATTTTTCAATTTATAGACCCGTGAATCATCGCCCCAACAATGAAATAATTCTTATCTTGTTTAGAAGTCGACGGACATTCGAAAATATTTATCAAGTTTTTATTATCAGTTCGGTCATAATTTTTTGTGCTTGAATTTGTGTTTGAATATTCGCAAATAAACATCAGAACTTCTATTTGACTTTTTAATTCTATTATGAAGTGTTTTAAAAATCTGCGGAAACAACTATAAAATCAAACAATTGAAATATTAGAATTCTTCGAAACTACAATTTCATTAAAAAATACTTCACGATTTTTTTCGTTTTGACGACTAGTGGAAAAATGATGAATTATAGGCGATTGAAATTTTTTATTTTAAACACCATTTTATTCCCTCTTTTACTCAATGAAGAGATTCCCTGAAATAACCCAATTTCCATAATTTATTCATAAGATCATTTATTCAGGATTCAGAAATTTTTAAAAAAGCACCATTCTTGATTTTCTCCCATTCAATTCTCATACGATTTAATTTCCAAATTTCATAATAGAAATTCACCGAATCCGTAACGAACTTAATTCATCAACTCCTCTGCTTTTGCGTGTATTCCAGTGGCAGTAGATTGTTTCACTAGCAAATGCCCGACCATTATCACTCCTATGCGTGCATTGCGTCACAGAGAGTGCCTGTGCAGCAATTGCGAGTGATTTCACCGCCCATCGACTCTCAATTTCCTCCAGTTGAGAGCAGAGACTCATAAAAAAAAACTATAGCATTTCACTCTCATATAATTTGCATAATATCCCCCGCTGATTTTTTTTCTCGCGTTCAGAGCGGAAAAAAGAAGCGAATGGTCAAGTGAAGAGTGAAGATAATTTATATTCATCCAAGCGGTTTCTACCAGTTCTGAGGTCATGCGATCGCGAGCAGAGAGTGCACGCGATCAAATTAATTAATTTCCTCTTATCCCAGTCCAATTGACCTGATCTCGCGGAAGCACTAGAAATTGATGCCGCAGCCTCAATATCCCATTCGATGCGTCAATATTATTTAAAGATGTCTAAGTACTTTGGCTTTTTTTCCCCAATAAAATGCTTTTGTACTTTTGTAGTCGAACGTCAGAGCTTTCATTTGATCCCCATTTGACCCGGTTTCCGGACGTTTTACAATGATTTTATTATTTCGACTTCACGGAGAAAAATGTTCAGTAAAAATTACGGAACTCACAGTTCGCTCACCGATTACGGAATCGACTCAGAAAAATTAAGTGACGGTATCGTAATTTTTGACAGGAGATTCAGCTAAAAATGACGGAAAAATTCTGTGATTTTAGGTAAAAATTACGTCACAGTTCCGTAAAATTTCCCACCGGAATTACGGAAAAGATACGTTATTTTTATTGATTATTTCTCTCCGTGTGTGCAGGTCTGAATTTCAATCTCGATATTGCACCGTTGGAAAATATTTTAAAAATCTATAAAACAAATTGGAGCGTTTACTTTTGGCGGAAGAGTGATGAATTAATAAAAAAATTACAATTTTCGAGAATTACGACCATTTCGATAAATAATTCATAAACAATCAATTTTCGACAATAAAACTCATGTGTTCGGAATCATAACAGATTTAATCATATTCAAAATTTTATTGTAAAAATGTAATTTTAATGACGATGGATATGCATGACTTTTTCAAATTTTATTCACACAATTTAATTGACAAATTTGATGATTGAAAATGATTGAGTCTATAGTGTTGTCTTTACCAAACTGTAAGGAATACTTGGATATTCTTAAACATGAAAATTCATGAAAGTGGTTTTATGCGAGGCATCGGATGCTCTGACAAACATCGGTAGGCGGTTTCGAAATATAGTGGCAATGACATACCGCATGGAGCGTCAAAACTACTCACAAACATGACGCGGAAATTCGATCCGTTCAGCATCGAATAACAATTCGTATACGACAACGGGAAAATTTTCCACTTCTCGGTTACATCCACACTGGATACTTTCTTGGTTATTCATTTATCGAAGATTCCGGGAATGAATAGAGCGTGCGGCAGTGGGAAATTAAAGCTCGAATGGGGGAAATGGTCAATGCTCGGGTCAAAGGAACGTGGGGGGAAGCATTTTCGAGTGACGCATATTGTAATTGATTTAGAAAGTTTTCGGCTGGAGAGTGACGAATGTGGAAACCGTTGAATTGATGGTATTTTACGAGGACTGGTAGAAAGGATTAGTTATTGTTAACGAATGGATTGGGTCGGAGACGAGGGTCTATTCGGTCTCACCAAATGTTCATTCGTTGATAGTTAACAAATGCACAGTTGAGGAGCCTTGTTTGACTCGATTTTCACTTTTCAAGTGAACCATTCGTTGACTATTAACGAATATTCATTTGGTCATACTCAACTCTACCGTTCGTTAAGGGGAAACGGGGAACCCCTGCGTTTATATGAATCTTCACGGAGAGAAATATTCAATAAAAATTACGTATCTTTCCCGTAATTCCGGAGCGAAATGTGGTTGTAGAAAATTTTACGGAACTGTCACGGAATTTTTCCAGAGCGTTCCGTAATTTTTATCTGAATCTCTTGTGAAAAATTTCGATATCGTCACTTAAATTTGTGTTTTCTCCTGCAATTATTATTTTTTATTCATTAAACTACTTCATTGACTCAACAATGTGATAATCGAGTCGATAAAGTAATTTCATAGATAGAAATTAATGATTGTAGAAGAAAACACAATTCTAAGATTTCATGTAGACAAAGGGGTTCCGTCTCCCCTTAATAGGTAACGACTCTCGTTTGGAATAAATGAATCAGTCTATCAGTGTGTTGTTGATGTGAGAATATTAGCATCAATAAGAGAATTTGGGAAAAACTTCTTCACTTCTTTGAAATTTTAGGGAATTGGATAGTTGGAAATTCACAATTTGATGATAAATCGACGGAAATTGTGAATTTTGGGTCAATTATTCAACGAAAATTAATACAATCAATCAATTTAATCAATTTAATGCTTGAATTTTCAAGAGAACGATAATTCAACCTCATGTGACGCTGAACATTCATGTAAAATGGGGAATTAGCGACAGAATTTGTCGTCCTGTCGCTAAAAAATTTGGAGTTCATTAGATTTTTAATGAAATTTGAAATTTCATTATTTTTTCCGTCTAAATCAAATTCAATATCTCTCCTGAAAATTGCTACCAAGCTCTCCATAAAATTTCAATTTTTTTCTAAAAGTATGTTCTATTCTTGAACCGAGAAATTTCATTCTCCATTACAATTCCTGTACGTAGAAATCCAGGAATTGACATATTTCTAGATAAAAAAATATTCGTATGCATAAACGATTGAAATTCAGAAAATAATCCTGAATACAATCCATGCATCCGAATTATAATAATAACGCAACTGTTGGCAGAACCTGAATGACCTGAATAGAAATTCCGCCTTGCGTCAATTTTTACAATTTCATTCACCCAATAAACAATTCCAAGAACACAGAATTGACAATATCCCTTCTTCAACAAAAAAATCTGTTCTGAATTCCAGAAACAACCGGACTTTGAAAATAAAAAATAGAACTCTGTTTTATGTATCAAATTTAGCTTCAAATACACCCCAAAAATCTCGAAACACCCAATGTAAAAAATAATCCCCAATTCCCTTCTCATGCACCCGAATTACGCGACCCGGCGAATAATGCGAATGCAGGTAGAGCGCCAATGACCCGAATAAAAATTCCGGCTCGTCCGAATTTCGACAAATTTATTGACCCACCAAGCAGCTCCAAGAACGCGGAAGTTGACCAATAAATTCATTTTTTAAAATAAACATCATCTCCCTGACGATGCACCTCGGTTCTCGCCGTAAAAACCAGTGTTGCACCCAACATATGGGAGCGCCAGTGGTGGGGGGGCCAGCGGCAAGGAGTGGGGACGAAGGGTTCTCGCCCCCACGAGTCCGCACACAGCTGATCGGCCGTTCCGTGATCCTCAGTGCGCCACAGCTCCGTTTGCTGGGCACCACGCGCGCAAGAAACATTCTTTTTTTTATCATCTCTCACATTCGTTAAAAAAGAAAAGAAAACCCCAGCACCAACACAACGAGGTTTTTCTCCGGTGGAAGTGACGCGTTGAACTGGACTTTGTCACATCGTAACAAAGGAAAAATCGTTCTAAATACTTGTTCTTGCGCAGTGAAGGCTCCAATTGAATTTCGGAGCCGCTCAGTTGAATTGTGGGGTTCACCGCAAGTTTTGGATAAGCTATTTGATTTTGAGAATACCGGGTCTATGTACGGTCCGGGGCGTTTGTGTTGCCATCAAAGGAGAAAAAGGTGCGAGAGCTGCCGCAAGGAGTCTATGAACTCCGAGGAAGCTAATGACGACGATTGGATTCAATATCAATGCCAATACTGAAGAGATTATTTTATGCATTTTTTTAGATTTTTATATTTTTCGTTGGGTTTCTGTGAAGTTGTTGGGTTCATAATTTTTACGGGTCGTGTGGGTATTTTTGGTTGAAACATGCTGAGTGAGGAGAAGGATCAGGATAATGGAATCAACATCAAGTTTGGGAGGGATAAGGATGGAAAGGGGGAGTACAGGGCCATTTCTAAGAAGGAGATTAGGAGGAGGGAGGAGCTCAATGGAAATGCCAAAGTCACAGGTAATTTTCCATTAAATGCTCACGGATTTTTCATGCGGAGAGATAAATCTGTGAGGAAATTATCCCTTGAGGATGTTTATTCATTTTCCGAAAATTTAATTTTTTTGGGTTCGACGAAAATTCTGTAATTTTTTAGAGAGAACAGGAAACCAACATTTTTGATAATCGAGAACAATTAGTTGCAGGAACTTTGGCGAAATGGAATAAACAGTTATTTTCTTATATATGGGCTCTCAGGATTTATTTTCAAATTTATAATTAAAGTGTTTAAAGACTCCAAAAATGAGGAAAAAAAATTAAGGACAATGTAAAAATATTAGGTATAAGAGGGAGGATCTCTGTGGAAATGTTAAATTAACAGGTAATTTTCGGTTAAATGTCTAGAGATTGGGGGAAATTTTGCATGCGGAGAGTAAAATCTGTGGCGAAATTACCCTTGAGAATATTTATTCATTTTCCGAAAATTTAATTTTTTGGGTTCGAGGAAAATTCTGTAATTATTTACAGTGAGAGGGGAACAGGAAACCAACATTTTTGATAATTGAGAACAATTAGTTGCAGGAGCCTCGACGAAATGAAATGAACAATTATTTTCTCATCCACTTATTTTTGTGATTTATTTTCAAATTCATGATTCACCTACTAAAAGACTCCAGAGAAAATGCGGAGACGAAGGGGTAAAACAGGCACTCATATTTTTATTTCAATCTCAAAGTCTTATTTAATAGGAAAAAACAAATTATTCCTATTAAGGAAATTATTCCTTTTTATGAAAAGCAATAATTTTTGTTTTCCTTGAAGAGTGCACCTGAGTAACAAACATTTTGAAAAATGTTTGAAATGTTCATTTTGCCCCACTAGCCCCTAAAAATATCGGGCAATGTAAAAAACAAACTGAATCCAATGGCTGAGGGAAATCTGGGGGTACCCAAGCAAATAACGTAGATATTTAAAACCTTGTGTCCCATGTAACCGCAGGGTAACGCCTGCATTCAGTGCATATTGTCTATCAACTCAGATTGGCGGATTAATCTGTTTACTAACACGAGGAAAATAACTCCGTCCATCAGTTGAAAAAAAAATTGAAAAAGTTTGAGCGCTTGCGGGTTTGGATAAAAATTCTTTGTTCATCGCAATTTTTGAACGAAAATTCCAGTATTTATCAATGTGTGATAAATGAAAAATGTTCAAAACTATTGCAATTTTTGCGATAATGATTGCGGATTATTGGGTTGCAACGTACTGAGTTATTTTCCTGGTATATCCGGAATGATTCGATTGACTTGTTTACGAAATTCAACTCTTTGTGTCATCACTCGCACTTGCTTATGAATTTTTCCCCGAGGCGAGTACACTCTATAGATTATAAAATCAGCAGTTGCTGATGATAAGAAATTAAAGTGGTTGAATTCAGTGTTATCCAAGACAATCTAGCCTGTTCTAAAAATCCCCAGAGTTCAAACACACGTCTGTTGAAGAATATGTTTAAAATATCAATAACAAGTTTTATAATTATTATCAAACAATAATGTATAATTTACTTTATGCAATCGCCTGATCCGAGGCGGTCGATCCGTCAACAACTCTAAATTATTTTCATCATCAAGTCTGTCAGAAAATTAGTAGACTGAGAGAAAAACAGCGTTGTCAAACAAGTCTTGTTTGGGCCAACAAAATCGCTAGTTGAAAACTGCCAAAAAAGAATTTGTTTGGTTCGAATTTGAAAGTCTCAAACGTGAATAATTGTTCTGCTTTCGACAGCAACGAAATATTTGGCTCAAGAGGCGGATAATTCATACCAGACGGTGCCTTATCAGGATGAAAATATCTCATATAGAGGAAAATTTGTCAACAAATATTTTATCCCTAAGTTACAAGATTGCTATCATATCATTATTATTGTTTCATTTAAGGGTTCATTTCTTGTCTGTGATTATTAGACAGTCGAAACGAAAAACTACTATCCCTTGTTTCGCATAAAACAAAGATTTTTCGGGATCAAAATACGTATGGGAGTATCGAATAACGAAGGAGTAGTGCTAGAAATGACATTTCTTGCGTGTACAGAGAACGCAATTTTTTTTGAACAACTAAAAAACGGCGGACTCTGCATGTTTGGCGCAAAAAAATCCTTTTTTGATAATTTTCAAAAAAACTATTTTCTTGGCACAAGTAAGACTTGTTTGAGGACTTTGTCGTTTTTCCTTCAGCGTACAGAAATTCGTATGCATGAAAGAACATATTGATTCCAATCAACGTAAATAATAAACGCGATGAATCATACAAAATCCATCAAGTAGTCAGGCGCGAGGAGCGCGTCTTCGATAGCGTTTATTAAAAAGCAGTAATTACCACGATTAATATAAGTGAATTCCAATTCTGAAGGTTTTACGCTCTGATATCGAATTTAAATAACCGCGTCGTCACGCTCATTTCGATAGAAATATTAGACTAATGGTGTGTTCGCCTTAGCTGCACGAACGTAGAGTTATTTGCCTCAATAACATCAATAACAAAATTTTTATTCACCCCAAGTATTACCCAAGGTCATGTCAGGGTTCACCGACCCCCAGAGTCTCGTGTGCCCCGCCCCTCGGTCGTTCGGGGTAACAACCCATCTAGTTGTTATCATCTCCGAGGGGTTAAAATATCGAATGTTCAACCACGTGTCTCCGCGCAAACTCGATCAGCGCCATCTGGCGGGTAATTTAACCAGTGAAAAATCGAGTGAACGATAAAAATACAAAAAATAATCCGCAAATATGCCAGTGGATTTCCCCCGAATTCACTGAATTCAATTGAAGCACCAGAAAATACTTCGATCCATTGATAATTTCCCTCGGGATTCATCCGGTGATAAAAAATTGTGGATGAGTTTCTGTCATATTTTCATTGATAATAGACGTAATTCGTGAAGGAGAAATGTTCCCCTTGAATTTATCATTGACATATCGCATTGTTACCTTTTTTCGGAAGGTCTGTGTCGTTCGATAGCCACGCAATAACGATCCGTCTGCCCCAGCTATGCCCCTTCCCCTGTAACTGATATACGTAAGAGGAAATCAAAGGTGAAGAGAGAAAATGACAATGGGAATGAAATCACACAGACCAGTGGAGGTAAATAGTGGGATAGAAAGTAAATGGGACGGATTGGTTGAGTGAAGTCAATGGAGAGGGAAATCCTTTCGGAGGATCGACACAATTCAGTAGCGAAGCGGTAAACCGGGTTAAGTCGATTTTGACTTTTGGCCAAATTTTGATGAATATCTGGGAATCTAAAAGAGATAACAAAATTTTTCCTATGAACTTTTTTATAACTCTCAAGTGGCTCTACAAAAAATATCCTAACAAAAATTTTTCTATCTCTATTAGATTCCGAGATATTCGTCAAAAACTGGTCAATAGACAAAATTGACTTAACTCGGTTTACCGCTTCGCTACTGAATTTTAATCCTGTCCCATGTCAATCCCATTTTTTAATGGAATAGGGAAATTACGATTCATGAAATCATGAAATTAGCACGTGTGCATGAGAAAGCCTATTGGCACTGAGATTTTTCGCATGAACTCAATCAGTTAAATCGAAATGGGACAGATTGATTGAGTGAAGTCAATGGAGAGGCAGATCCTTTCGGATGATCGACACAATTTTAATCCATTCGCGTGTCAATCCCATTTTTTAATGGAATGGAAAAATTATGATGAATGCAATCGTGAAATTAGTACGTGTGCATGGGAATGCCTATTTGCACTGCGATTTTTCGCATGAACTCAATCAATTGAACGTAAATGTGAAATAGTGAAATTACGATGGATGCAATCCTGAAATTAGTAGGTGTGCGTGAGTGAGGTGAATCCCTATTTTCCCTGTGCTTTTTCGAGTTAACTCAACCAATTTATTCAGCACTCCAGTGAACCTCCCTTTTCCCTGGGCTTTGGGGAACGCAAATATCGACTGCATGATTATACCGCAGTGACCTGCTTCGATACCCAGGTATTCAATTAAAGTGGAGGGTTCGGTAGTTTTCGAGTTTCGGGAAAATTGAAGTTTTAATTGGAGAATGTCAAAGGAAAATTGCGGGTTTATTTTTTATTTTTGGAGTTGATGGCAGGCCGTTAAGCTCGTGATTGGAGCTAGCTGGGGTTTATGAACATTAATGTGGGAATGGGAGTTTAAATACCAGAAATGAAAGTAAGAATTATTTTTCTCTAAAAAAAATCAGGGAATTTCACTGGAAATTCTTTTTTAAGTCAGTTGAATTTTCTATCAAGTCACGGATATTCAGTAGCAACCTGAGCTGAATTTTTAATTAATTGAAAACCCAGGGATATAATGGCGTAAATTTTCCTGACTGGTAGCAATATTCATGGAGTAATTACACGAAAATTCAAAATTCGAGAATGTCGAAGGAAAATTGAGGTTTCATATTGTTTTATTTTTGGAGCTAATGGCCGGGGTTTAATCTCGCGATTGGATCTAGCACGGGTTTATGAACATTGATGGGGATGGCAGTTTAAATTCCGGAATTGGAAGGTATTGGGGAGTGAAATTGCCTCGGAAAGAATTTTTCATTTTATCTTATCGATTTTAAGGACAGTTTAGTAGTTATTTTCAGAAGAACGGCATTTAATTCACTCTAGGGGGAAAAATATCAGGAAATTTCAATGAAAATTCAATGGAATTCAAAATTTTTGAATGGCTAGTTTTCAATTTTCACAAGGACTGTTAAATTAATGTTCGTTTAGCAATAAACCCGTCTATTTGGTTGAATTTCCAAGATAAATAGGGACTGGCATAGACAAATCAACCTCGAATCGGATTCAGCCTCATAATCCTGAAAATTCACGTACATTTGATCCTTGAATTAAAAAAAATAATGAAATGCCTACAATTTGGTGATTTTTCTGGGAATTGAATTCCCAGCATTCAGCATTTTTTCCTCATGCACTCGATTTTCGCACGGATCGATGTTAGCCTTGAGTTCAATGTTAGAGCCTTC